TTTAATTAGTAACCCGTTGAATTTTAAAATATTATTTAACGTAAATCCTAACACCAGTATAAGTCAATTTATATCATAATTTTCATGTTATAATCCATATCATGCAAATCCAAATATATATATATATATAATCGGAATTTAAATTATGTTCTTAATAACACAAAAATATATATTTAACCCATTATGAATATTTATGAATTTTGTGATAGAAATAAAAATAATAAAAATACTATATAGTTTTTTTTTTGTTTGTCAACTAAATACCATATAGTTAAAGCAAAAAAAGTAAAATTTATGTTAGTTACCTCATAAAAACTACAAATAATGTTGTCAACCATTACATAAGTACATGATTGATAATTATATTTTATTAATGTCATCGTTTTATTTCTCATAAAAGTTTATACTCGCCAAACTTTATACAGTATTAACTTCATAGTAAATATAATATTATTATTTTTTAACTTATATAATTTTCAATATATACATTCGGAGAGTACTAATTGCGTCATAGGTCAAAAATTTTTATTTTCTTTGTGATATTTTATAACTATATATTGATAAAATAAATATTTTTACATATTCTTTCTATTATTTTATTTTTACATGATTGTATATATTTTTAAACTTTTAAATTGAGGTTTCTATAACTTTTCTAACTTTTGTTTTTCCAATTTATATACTTTTTATCATTCGTATTTTTAATTATTTTAATTGACATTTTATTTTGTATGTATTATTTGTTTCTTTTATGGCTTATATAATGCTTATATTTCAACTTAAATTTTGTTTCTTAATTATTATGGATGGTATTAAAATTTTTATTTTTTATTATTTGATTAGTAACTTGACAACTAATATCCATTTTAAATCTTATTTTTTTTAATTAATTTTAATTTTTAACACATTCATTGTCTTATCTATATTAGATACATGTCACGATCTCGTGAGTTATAATTTTGCTTACGTTTCATGCTTATATAAAAATGTATTGCGGTAAATACTTTTGATTTTAAAATTTATAACACCTATAATTTGACAAATTTAATTAGATTCTAAATTACGACTCACACAACTATTTAATATTTATTTTATTATTATTTCATTTTATATTTTATTAAATCGTCAGTTTATTATATTTATCTCAAATTAAAATTGTCTCATACACGTTATTATATTAGCAAAAAGACACTTATATTATGACATATTTTGTTGTCTTTAACTATTTAAATAATTTGAAATGGAAAGAATATATTTTGTAATATAACAATTTAGAAATATTACTTTTTAGTATGACGGTTTTTTCCTTTTTTTTTAATTAGTCCATAATCATTGTTTAGAATATATTTCTTATTTTAATTTCTAAAATTTTATTAATATTGTCACATGTCGCAATTTAAATTAACAATTACATGTGTCGTAATATAGTGAGTTACAATTTTGCTTACGTGTCGCGTTCTCATCGTGCGCATCCTCCTTTATATAATAAGATTTTATAGGTTTTGACATTTTTTTTTTAAGAAACGTTTTTGAAAAAAAAAAATTTTAAAAAGTTTTTAAATGTTTTTTCCTTTTTTTTTGTTAATTGTGATAGGACTTATTTTCCTTTTTTATATAATAAGAATAAAATATATTG